CAGATGAATCCGTTGCTACAAATGATTAAGCATACACCAATGAAATGCTGCTATTGTATTTTATGCGATATAATTTTTATTTTATTTGTATCTTTTAATGCATTTCTAATATTCTGATAGACGTGAGAATTCTGCAGAATATCTCAGGGGTTTTTTTATCCAATTAATTGATTAATGGTCTTAATTAAGCATTAGTTGCAGCCCTAGACTCAGATAAAATAAGGCAAAAAAAAAAATAAAAAAAAAACTAAACATGCTGCAACTTTATATATGTGTTTCTCAACATTTTTAAAAGCATGCATCGTTTTCCTTCCCTTCTAGTTCCTCATCACTTCATCTTGGTCATTGCTTATCAAATAAAATCTTCACTGATTTAAGTTTGTGGATCCGACGTCAAAAAATGTAAAACAGTTCAAGCATTACTGTCGATTAAAGGAGGGTGAATCTTACTTTGGGGGCTTTTTCAGTCTTCAGCTTCCTGACCAGCTCTCCTTGTTCAGCTACCTTCCCATAGACGCCGGTGGCGGCGGCGGGAGAGGGGCTGGTGCTGTTCTGGGTCAGGGCAGCGGTCTTCTGGGCGGGGCTGGGGGCGGGACCTGCTCCTGGCTTGTAGTCCTGCCCTGTGGCCTGTTTGTACTCTTCTTTCAGGGCGAGCAGCTGCTTCACCGCTGCATCAATCTTGTCCTGCAGCAACGCCAACGAGCAAACTTCAGTTCCACATATTTCTCCGTCTCAAACTGAGTGCCTGGTTCAGGGACATTATTTGGAAACTGATCCTTCATGAGTTATTATCCATTACAATTGAGTTTCTGCAACCAATTCATATCAAATATTGTGATAAGGTACTTTATCAACAGGCATACATATGCACTGGAAGTAATTTACATATGTCGTCCAGCTAACTGGTGATAAATTTGCACTTAGATGCAAAAAGCTAGCTAGAAAGGCCATATCAGCTAGTTAGTGGCAGCTTTAACTGCCTCGAGTCACAGAACGCACTGAAGATGTTCGCACAGGACTCAAACCATCACCTGACAGCAAAGTCCTCCGAGAAAAAACTACTTACATGAGAATCTAAGATTAAATAGTCCTGTCACAACTAAAGTTAGGATCTGTCATTACCGTATTTAAGACCAACTTACATTTCCTTAATGACTTTAAGACACTTTAAGGATGCACCGACTCCCTGTGTTAAACATTTGTATCCATTGGAGCTGGGATTTTAAGATGAAGCAAAAACCTGAACATACTAAAAACAAAGCCGCTTCTCATGAGAAACTGTAATGATAGACATTTATTTTCTCATCCCATCTGAAAAGTTATAGGATCAACTTTTGACAGCATGAACACATGGATTGTTGATTCTGCCTGTAAAAAAGTTATGTTTGTTTTTGTTCCTATGGAAACGTCTCTTAAGCATGCTTTATCCATGTTATTTTGATACAGAATTCAGTACTGTCTCTCTGAATACCTTGGAGGCTTTTTCAGACTTCAGTTTCCTCACAACTTCCCCCTGAAGTGCGACACGCTCATACAGGCCAGTAGAAGAAGAGGAGGATGAAGAGGAGGAAGAAGAAGAGGAGGAGGAAGTCACAGTGGTGGTGGCAGAGGAAGTGGGTGCGCCTATCCCTGGTTTGTAATCCTGACCAGTGATCGCTTTGAACTCCGCCTTGAGAGCCAGGAGCTGCTTCACTGCAGCATCAATCTGGTCCTGGTACCATCAGTAAAGGGATTTAGAGTTATGGCTGTTCATGACTCAACTTCACTCTCATGCAAACGCGACAGAGAGATGAACGGAAGCAGAAGCAATGAGGAATGAGCAGAAAAAGATGAAACCGGTGACTGGACGGCTGAACATGCAACGAGGAAAACGTAGGACAAATCCGTCTGGATGGAATAAATGATCGGTGGTGGGAGCGGTGACCGACAGACAGATGATCGTGGATTAATAATTAACATTTCGTACCTTCGGTGCTTTCTCTGCTTTCAGTTTCCTCACCAGCTCCCCCTGTTGGGAAACACGGGTGTACGGACAGGCGGTGGCCTCTGATGCCGGCGCCGCTGGGGCAGATGCAGCGGGTGTGGCTGGAGCGGAGGTGGGCGGAGCCATGCCTGGCTTGTAGTCTACACCTGTCTGCTGTTTAAACTGAGCCTGCAACAGAGTTGGTTAAAAAGTTGAGATGTAGCCATTTTATCTGACTCCATCACTTCCAGTTCTTTCAGGGAAAGCAGGAATACCTTCAGAGAGAGGAGCTGCTGGACGGCCTTATCGACTTCCTCCTTGGAGGCTTTGGCAGCCTTTAGGTTGCGGACAGCTTCACCTTGAGCTACGACGCTTGAGAAAAGGTCAGTTGCTGAGGCTGAGGCGGAGGTCGGAGAAGGAGCAGAGACGGAGCTGGAAGGAGCTTTGGAAACCTTAGCAGGCTAAGAAACCAAGACAGAAAACAGGAAATTAATTCACCATACTTTTTTCAGAGAAATTATGAGGTTCTGTTTTTTGTATTTGTCCAAATTGGTCAGATGACATGTTTAAAAAAAAAAAAAAAAAGCCTAGCAGAGAAATTAGATTTTTCTGAATTCAAGAAGCCTGATGAATGAATGAATTTAAAAAAAAAATCAGTTTTCTGATTTCAGAGCTTCTGAGTGTCGCCAGTGGCATGAAGTGGAAGTGGGGCTACGTTTTCATCACTGACCGATATGAACAACAATACACAACACTTGTTTGTACACGCCATTTTATCTATATTTATTCATGTACGTCTTTCTGCTTCACTTCTTACTCATTTTAAAATAATATTTCCATTGCTGTTGCACATCTGTTTTTCTGCAGATGTGCAGAAAAACAAAAAGTGAGAAGTCTAATTTTTTTAAATGTTTAATACACATGTACATGTTCAATATGCCTATTTCTAAGTATTTCTTGGTAGAATCTTGTACAGTATACCATAACTGTTGTTACAGTAATCTTGTTCTTTTTTTTATTTTTTTATTTCTTTAGACACTAAGAATTTTTTCTGTGAATTTTTAGGAGACGTTACAGCTGAATTTCCTCTTTGCGGGACAATAAAGGCTGTTTGTTCTTTTCTATTCTACAGTTTCATTTCACAACCTTCACCCAGAGTGACATCAAAGACATGTGAATGACATCTGTAAGCTTCAGCCTTTCCTGCTTATCCAGCCTTGCAAGAACTGGTTGGTCCAGCTTAAAGTTCCTGCTAGTGCCTGGCGATGTTTTTTTCTTCCCTACACATCACGCAGAGTTTAAATGAAAACCTGAAGATTCTTCTCCTAAAACACTCACTGTGTTGCTGGAGGCCTGGCTCTTGCTTTTGTCCTTTGACCCGGCCGTCGGCATCTCCTTGGTGTGTCCATCAGGGATGTAGAAGAGAACACAGGGACTCTCCTTGCAGCTGTTGGGACTTTAAACAGAAACACAGTCATCTCCCCAAAAGAAGAGCAGGATGTCGTAGCAGTGTGGCAAAGCGACTCGGTAACGATCCTTCACCTGATTGGCTCGTACGGCTGATCGCAGATGTAGAAGCCCCGCCTCTGGAGCTGGATGATGTCTCCTTTCTTCAGGCTCTTCAGACACGGATCTCCCAGCATCTTCTCCTCCAGCTGAGAGAGAGAGAGGCAGTCAAGAAGAGGAACTTGCAGAAACGTAAACAGAAACGGGGAACTCCATACAGTGCACACCCACCTTGCTGTTTTTGTTGATGTACTCTTTGAAGTCGTCGTCTTTGGTGATGACGGCTTTAGTGATGAGAGGCTGGTAGTTGACGCAGATGACGGGCAGCAGAGGGGCGCTGCTCGTTTCAGCCAGCCAGGTGATCTTAGTTGTCTTCTTGTAGTCCTTGTTGTCCAGGTCCAGGCGAGCCTCAATGGACGCCACTTTACTGTCCGGCGCTCTGAGTGACGGAAGAGGTGATGAGGACAAGGACACACAGCTTTCGTGTACGGATACGCGGGGTTAATGTGAACCAGCCGGACGTACTTGTTGATCTTCGTGATGATGAGGTTGCCCCAGTTGATGAAAGTGACTGTCTCTCCTTCTGTCAAAGTCTCGGCGTCGGCTCCTTCAATCAGAACGCGAGGTCCGTACCAAACTTCCTTCAAGCCGACCTCTTCGTTCTGTAGGAGGGTTAATATTGAGCTCGGTGAGGTTTGCTGTAAGTCAGTGAACGCTTTAAATAGTCAAGTACTGAACTGAAACTAAGTGGCTAAACGTCCTGTCCAAAAAGGTTAAAAAAAAAAACCCCTAAAAACTACAAATTAGGACTGGGCGATATGGACATAGGATTTTATCAGAGTATTTTGTGATACTGATAAATATGATTATAGAAACTATCTATTGCTTATTTTTTTAGGTAACTGCATGGTGCAGCAAGTACTGATCATGAAAAGTAGTTCCTTTTGAAATGCCACAAAGTGTGACTTATGTCACTCAACTGTACAAAGTAATTACATTTAATCATATTTTCAAATTCACTGATATTTGTTTATGCTCCCAATATATAGTAAAAATAAATAGTAAAAAAATACTGTCAGCTTTGTTTTTTGTTTTAGTTATTAATTAAAGTTTATTGACAACAATAAATCAAAATTCGTTTTATGACGAGACATTTTTCGCAATAATTATAAATGCCTTATACGACTACACATATCAAATAATATTCAAATCTGAATGCAGGTAAATAGGTGGCCACCCATTGCAGTTTTCTGACCGATCAATAATCTTTAAAAAACCAGACCAGCCAGTTCCAACCGATGCAGATTTTTTTGTATGTGTGAAATGTTGCCATATTTTACAACAACATTGCTAAGCAAGACTTTTGCTGATGTAGATAAGATTGGTTTTCATGTATATATTGGTCGATTGCTCATCCCCCAGGAAGATTAAGGACAATAAACCAACTAACCTTGGGATGCTTGGCCACCTCCTTCATCTCCTCCGTTGCCTCTGGGACTGAAACCGGAACCACATAGGAGCTGGACAGAGCTGTGAACCTGGGAGCTACAGGGTCAATAACCTGACATGGCAACACAGAGAAGAGATCCACGGGTCAGTGAGAGCCACATGAACATACTGACATTAAAAAATATCTGACAAACAAAAAGGGCAAAGAAGCAAATAGTGATTTGTAAAATAAACCCAAAGAAAGCCTGCCAAGCTCAGAAAGAAACATATGCAGAGTGTGAGCAACAAAACAGAAAAATAAAGAAAAACTGATTTCATGAGTGGATCATGTTCACCTAAGGGTGAGCTCAAATTTTCCAATTTAGCCAGCTTGTTTACACAAACAGCCAACAATCTAGCTGTAACAATGTGTCAGACACACCACGCGACAAAGAAGCTGAAGCGATCTTAATGAAAAAGACGCTAAAGAAGCAGAATCAGAGTATCACAACTGATTCTTCAACTCTGGTGTTTAAGATTTGACCTACCGAGACCAATTTTAGCCAGTTTCGGCTATTATAGTTTAAGTAATCTTTTATTCAAACTTTTAAGTAAAGAAAACATCATTTAAAGTTGAAAAGTTAATTGCCCTTAGAATCTTGTATTAGCAATTATTAGCAATTAGCACAGTTAGTAATTAGATCTGTTAGCAAATGGCGCAGTTAGCATTTCTAAACCCTTCACTCCATTCAGCCTCCTTTGTAACTCCTGAAGGCTCACTCTCTGTTGTCAAAACAAAGATGGCTATCTCGAAATCTTCAGTCAGTAACAACTTCCACACTGAAGAGGTTCATTGTCAATATAATTTAGGACCATTAGGCTGTAGTGTTTTTTCTCCCCACAGGTCAGGGTCAATCAAAGCAGAAAAATCAATCAAAGACGCCGGCTGTTTTCAGAAAGGACAAACTTCAAACAGGCCATTAAATGAATGTTTCCTCTACATTATCCAACAAAATCATTTAAAAAGTTCTAACTATTTTTTTGCCATTTTCTGTCATAATAAAAAGCTAAAGTATTTCATATCTCAACATTGTTCGTACCTTCATTTCCTTGTAATTTTAATAAATAGCTCAAATATGAGTAATCAGGATCTTAGAATGTAGTAAAATGTGCTTTGCTGCATGATAAATATGTCAAAGGTTGTTTCCAAACATCTGAGAACAAAGGGTGAAAGATGAACAATGGATGGGGAGAACGACAAAGGGATGAATGGGTTGGGAGGCCATTTAGTTTAACTGAGACAAACAATAAACCTGTAAATACTGTTACTATTAATCTCTAGGAGGAGCTCATAACATGGATCTATCGTTTTGCTTGTCGATGCTCCTAAGCGTTGGTTTGGCTGGTGAACGACTGCAGCGCATGACAGAAGCAGGGTGGGTCAGAATGAGGAAGAGGAGGAGGACGAGGACGTGGTGGAGGAGTACCTTCAGACAGCTAACGGGCAGCTTGGAAACAGAAGAGTGAGATGTTTGTTGAATGTCAGGTACAAAGAGGGAGGAACAGAGAAAGGAAAAGAGGCAGACACATTGGCACATAATGTACTTTTCACTTGGTTTTGCGGGTTCCTGTTTTTGTTTCCTGGATTTTGTGCCTTTTACTCCTCTTCAAACATCATTAAAAAAAAAAGAAGAAAAAAGAAAACAGACTGTGATGTTGATGAAGCTTTTCATTTCTCCTCAGCAACACAACAGCAAATTGTCAAAGTAAAATAATTTGAAAAAACCCCCGACAAGAGCAGCCAGAGCGTATGGTAGAAACTGAGAGAGAAAGCGGCTGAGGTGAAGAGTGAAATAATATCAGCTGAGCAACAAAAATCCTAGAGAAACAGACGTACAACTCCAAAAAAACACACCAGCAAGAGGCAGCGGACTGCCATTGGAGTTGAATGATAACAGGAACCCTCAGTGCCACATTATTACAACAGCGATCACAATTATTTCATATTTACCACACGACTCTCTAAAATTTACACATTGGGAAAAAAAAAACCCCAACAAAAAACAGAGTATTCCCTCCCACCGTCACCATGTGCTTGGTTAAGATGAGGGATTCCTGCAGGGTCAGTGATTAAATGAAGTTGGTTGAGTTTTCCCAGGTTTTAATTACATCGCGCTGCATTTTAATGGATCTGAATCTGAAATGACTGGATTATATTGTATGACATGACTTGCATTGGATCTGATGTTCCTGTAAAGTCTTTTGAGATGCAGTTTGTAGCAAATTAACGCTTTAATAAATAACATGAATGGAACTGAAGTGAAAATATGTAGAGTCCCACAGAAAAGCAGATTTCTGAAGGTGTGCTTTGCATTTTGCAACCTTTTGTTTTAGCATCAACCGTCTGGACAGTGCAGAGGTGGAGCATGTGGACCAGACATGATGCGTTTAGCCGGGTGTATGTGTTTATTTTAAGCAATCTATGCTGGAATATAACCGCCATCTTTACAATAAGTAGAGCTTCACGTTTGCGATGTGCGTTCAGAATTTTTACATAATTTTATTAAAACTGAGCTTAAAGTTTATCAGTGTCCTTTTTTTTCTACCCAGTTTTAAGATCTTGCTGCAAGTGCTAACAAAGAGAAGCAACACGGTTAAAAATATTTAAGATGATGTGTGAAGTGAAATGATGCACATAAAAGAGATGAGGAAGAGAACGAGGGGCAGGCAGGGGAAAAAGACATGTAGGTAGCTGAAAGCATGAAACAGAAAAAGCAGCTAGAAGCCATGCTGGTTGTAAAACAAAAGGAGGTGATTTATGGAGAATAAAGGCTGTCAGATCCAGGTACGTTTATGATTTGTGGACAAACCTGACTGAAGGTTTGTCTCCTAAAAATGTTTTTCTTACACGCAGGCTAATAAGTGATGAGCAAACAGGCCGTGTGGTAGTTTCAGTTCAGCCTTTAACATCAGCTTGCTTCATCATAATGCATAAAAGGTTGCCATGTTCACAAAAAGGACAATAATTGAAATTTTATTTAGCTAAATCGTCTAGGTTTCACCATATCAGTAATAAGTTTTACTCAAATATTCCAGCCAATGGCAAACTGAAGGACTGACGGACTGCAACCACAGTGAGCAGCAAACAGTCCATGTGAAACATTAATACATGATCATAATAATGACTGACAGATAACTTTGTTAGTGTAATTATTGGAGTCTATTTTCAGCATTTGTTTGAGGCGATGTGGAAAAGCTGAACTGGCTTCTACACAAACTGAGGTAAGATGGATGTGAATATAAATACCTTCTTATTGAAGGACCAGATCTTGTCCCACTCCATGTTCACCACTGACCTCGATCCGCCCTGAGAGGACAAAAGATGAGGGAAAACATTCTGATTAGTCAATTTATATAACAATGTTAAGTGAATAATATTTCCCTCTGCTCTTTAACATAAGAAGCTACAGCTAGTTTTCAAAAGGCTTCAGTTTTTCCTCTCTCACACAGCAGTGTGACATTACCTATATTAATAATTAATGACCGCTCAAGCAAAACCTAATGCTGATAATATAATATAATATAATATAATATAATATAATATAATATAATATAATATATAGCTGTTATTGACTAATCAAACTTTCTGGTTTTTAAGATTTAATTTTGGGAAAATTTTGATTTTCTTTTCACCAATGCACTCCTCTGGGTTTCTGTAGTTCAGAGTGATGTTAACCCACCACAAGTATGTTTTACAGCTTCTATTTATTTCCACTGTGAATCCAAGTTAACTCACAGAAGGAATGGTGAAAATTAAATCTAATTTTTTAAGATATTCTTTTGTAAGTTGTATTCTGGCTTTCAGACCTTTGCAGAGGTAGATAAGATCAGTGGATAAGATTGGATTTACATGTAAATATTGGCCAATCGCAGCATTTCTAAAAGTAAGGATTTATCAGTGAACCCCTAGATATTATAGTTCAGAAAGAGAACTTGGAACAGGATAAAATTGGTATCTGCAGTTCAAAATTTTACAAACTGGTGGCCGTTAAACCACGATCAATACTTTTAGAAACGCATCAGTAATGTCTTATGATCTGGCCTTCTGTGGTATGATGAAGCAGTCTCTCTCTCCCTTCAGTAACAGCTGGACATACCTGGGCTGCTATGAACTGCTTCAGACCATCCACAGTCATTCCTCTCCTCAACACTCCTCTGACAGTAGGGAAGCGAGGATCGTCCCTGGAAAACAAGATGCTGCAAAGGTCAAAAACAACTACAGAAATAGAGGGAAAGTCCCAAAGCATAAACAACAGTACGGCGTGCGGTATATGAGGTCCTGATATATTAACCAGAATAAGCTTACCACCCGTCCACATATCCCTGGTCGACAAACCAGGTGAGTTTCCGTTTGGACAGCACTGTGTTGTTGAGGTTGAGCCTGGCGTACTCCCAGATGTGGGGCTTCCTGATGCCCAGAGCTTCGATAAACCAGTAGAACTGCTCATCACGGTCGTGGTACTCGGTGGTCCTGAGAGCATGAGTGACCCCCTCCAGACTGTCCACAATTGGGCAGGCAAAGTCATACGTTGGGTAGACTCTGAAAGAAAAGGGAAGCGGGAGTGATGACGGCTTGATGAATACGTTGAAACAAATGCTTAAAGATGCAATATGAGCATCTGGAGTATCTGGAGGCTTCAGCAAGACTTTTTAAGACCTTTTTAATGCCGCCTTCATTCCCAGAATGCACCTCACCTCATATGGGAGGCAACAGATTTGAGCCAGCGGCGAAGATGAACGTCAACAGTCGATAAATTTGCACTTTCCATAAGATGTTTTTGCTAGTGAGATGCAAAAGACGCTAGTTAGCTAGCAAGGGTATATTAGCAGCTAGTTAGCGGAAGCCTCAACCACTTTGTGTTGTAATGATGTCTGTGAGCTGCACAAACTTTTGCCTGACAGACAATTACCACGAGAAAAAAGAGCTACATATGACATTAAGTAGCCCTGCCATGACAAAATTTAAGACCCGTGCTTAGGCCAACTCCAAATTTTTCATGAATTCAAGACATTTTAAGGCCTTGATTTTAGATATGTGACTTTCAGACTTTTCAAGGATGTCCTTTTTTGTTTGTTTTTTTAAAGCCATCTATAAGCTTCTTTTATTTATTTCTGAAGTTTGCTTGTTTATACAACATACATTATTTAGTATTCATGATGTGAATCTGTGCAAAAAGCAGCTAAAAAGTCAAAACCGGTTTCTCAAACGAAAGACACGTACTTGTAGGTCGTTCCGGTGCGCGGGTGGGGGGCATTCTTGCATCGGTACAGGGTGGGGTCTCTCAAGCAGCCGTTGTTGGAGCTCATGTCGATCTTGGCTCTCATGCAGCAGCTCTGACCGTACTCGGTCCCGGCCTTCATCTCGGCCCACATCTTCATGTTCTGCTCCACAGCTGCGAGTGGATGAGCAACATGCCGGTTAGTTTGCGAGCTTTTTGATTTGAAACAACGCAGCGATAGCTCCGCACGCCGTACTGTTGTTTCTGCATCGGGACTCGGTGCGCTGCTCCCTCTCCTGCTTCATCTGCTCAGGAGGGGTGTCGTCGATGTAGGCTTTGCCCTCGGCGAGAAGCTTCTCTGCCATCCGCATGATGACGGGAAAATGGTCGCTGGTGTAGGTGAACTGGTCTGGATGGATCTGGAGCATGGCGACGTCTTCCAGGATAACCTGAGGTGAAGTACCGACACACAGAGCACAGAGGTAAATCCTCCACTTTGCTATGCCAGGTATTGTACACAGTGATTAGAAACAATGTCACTAATTCTCAATCATTTCACATCCTGACAGTACCAGACCTTCTCAAAGTCCTCCTTCTCCTTCTCTGGGTTGGTGTCATCGAAGCGCATGATGAGCTTGCCTTTAAATGTCACCTGGTAGTGCTGGTTCAGCAAGGCCGCTTTGGCGTGGCCGATGTGCAGGTACCTGCTCACAGAGAGACACCGAGGCAGTTCAAGTCAGGAGACATGGAAATCAACCTTCATCAGAACAGAGCAGATGAAAAGTGCAGCCCTACCCGCTGGCCTCAGGAGGGAATCGAACTACCACCTTCCCCATCTCAGCTCCAGGCAAATCCACAAACTTCCCAACATCTGGCTTCTTCTCACCTGACTGGAACATGTTAATTAAAGATAAATTACCCATTAGAACCAGTCAGAACAAATGACATTGTCATGGTTTGCTTTGTTTTTGTGATTCTGTGCAAAAATCACAAAATCTTACCAAGAATTTTTTGTCTGGTTTCTAGTGAAAATATTTTAGTACAGTTTAAATAAAACAGAACTAACCCACAAGTAACGTTTCAGCAAGTTGTAGGATCTTTTTTAAGCTGCACTGGCAGACAACTTCATTTATAACAAGACATTTTCCCCATTTTAAAAGTGAAAACATCTTGTTGTGGAACTAATACTTTTTAAATCAATATTAGGGAAATATTTACTTAAAAGAAACTCCTATTTTACCTTACAATGTTACTTGTAAGTTAGTTTTGTCTTATTTCAACTGTACTAAGACCAAAAATACTTTGTGAGATTTTGTGTTTTTGCAGTGTGTGCAAGGGTAAAACCTGAAAGCATAACCAATGCATGGTTAAGAGGGAACAGAAATAAGTCTTACATTGGAGTTGTTCTTCACAGGTTTCTTGCTGGCGTACATGCTGCCCACAGAAGAGAAGGGAACCTGCGAGTTCAGGAAGAAGAACCAGCGGCTGACGTGAGGGAAAGCTTTGCTCTGACTTGGCCAACTGCTGTGATCTACGGAGAAAAGAAATTCACAAGCTGAGCTGCTGCAGCATACATGTATAACGGGGAAAAGACAAAACCTGGATGTCAGCTACTTTTCAGGGCAGCCCACACAGACAGATCAGCCAGGGTGAGGGCGTGTCCGACCAGGAAGGTCCGCAAAGACAGGACCTTGTCCAGGTCGCCCAGCGCCAGCGTCAGGTCAGGCTGATCGCACACCCGGCGAGCGCTGAACTCCAGCCAATGGTCAACCTGAAGTCACGGATCACATTAAAAGGTCGTCAATCCAGATTGAGTGTGAAACACCTCCACCCAGTCTAAATGTACCGACCTCAGTCTGCTCCATCAGGTTGGCTCCGTAGAGGCCGAGGGCGGGGGCCACCCGGGCCAGGTAGCGGCTGATGGAGTTGGTGTCGCTGAACTGGACTGAACTAGAGAAACAAAGAAAGACATTTTGATTTTGTGGCTTAACAATACAATCTCTGTTTTTTTAAAGGTACAAATGACAGAAAATATCTTGTAAAAAAAAACAACTTATTTCAATAATTCCTGACCTGAAATCAAGGTTGAAATAAAGAGAGGAAATAAAACAAACTTGTCAAACAAGATGGTAATTCTAGGGTAAGTTATCATCACTCTGAAAACCCAAGTAGTGCATTGGTGAAAAAAAAATCCAGATTGTTCAATCTTCAAAAAAAGAAAATTTCATTAGTTGATCAAATCAGTTCGTTGTCCGCTCTGTCAAATCATGCCTGTTCGGATAGAGTGCTTTAAAATTACATCCATACAGTTTAAACTTTACCACAGGGGTAGGAATACTTTTTATGTGTTTGTTACCAAGTTTCCATAAAGAACAATCATATAACAGATCAAACATGTCACTTACTCTGAGATGTGAAGGCTGTTGTCTTTCCCTTCCTCCACAGACACCTGCACAGTGTCCTTCACATGCTCTGCAGTCAAAAGCGCTCCTGTAGAACCAGTATTTTTTTATTATTATTATTTTCTCTCTGCAAAACAAGATTCTCACTTCATAAATGATATCAGAAACAATAATCTAGATCTGGAGTTAAACCTGCAGCTCTTTGGACCTTCTGCAAAATGACAAAGAACCAACTAAACTTTTAAAAACATGGATATAATGGAAAGAACCCATGCATTCATAAGGAGAACCTTAGGTCGGGATTCAAACCTAGAAATCTTCTTGCTGCAAAGAACCAGTGCTACCAACAGTCTAATTATATTTTATCTTTTGCTGTCATCTCTGCATACCAAAGATTTTTTTTGTAACTCGAGACAGCAAGTTTTCCTAGTTCCCAGAAACAGAGATGGCATCAGATAAAACAAAACAAAATCAACGTTTAACAAATATGCACAGACCCATTAAAGTCACACATTTCAGTGTGCTTGCATCAGCCTGCTGAATTCCCTCTGAGGACAAAAGAGGGCGCTGTTTGACCTACTGGCTTGGATAGTGACTACCTTAGATTATCCAAGTGCAACACTGGATTAACCACTGGAATTGCAATATCAAGTAGAATCAAGTACAATGTGACAAAGAAGGCCAACAGATTATCTAAACAGGAAATCACGGCATATACAATAACTATGACTTCAATGCCAGTTCAAGACTCAGAGTGAGATCCGACACTCGGTGTGTGCCACAGTGAAATCTGTGCTTACTGATGTATTACTTTCAAGTTCAAAGAGCTGATTACAGTAAATAACAAAATGGCATGTGGAGCTACAATGACCGTGTGTGTATAATGTGTAACGTTACTATTTTAGTAACGTTACACATTACTAATTACAGGAATCGGCTACATCTGTGGCTGTTTAGAGCGCCACGACTGCAAGATAGCTGCCGTGGCGGAACTCCTGCAGACCAACTAGATGAGCGGAGATGAACAGGATATAACAGGATACATCATGGACCAATTTACACACTTTTTTCTGATATAGTAGGAAACTTTTTGCTGATTTATTTTTATTTTATATTGTACGATTTAAGTAATTTCATGTCGCTCCAAAAATAAGCATAACACGAATATAAATACAGAGAAAAATTAGAGCGGTGTTTTGTTTTGCTAGCTGCTGAGCTGTCACCCGGGGCGCGTGCAGGTTCACGGGCTTATTGAAGCTGGGGTAACAAACAGACCGCAGCTGGAGCTCACCTAGAGGCGGGTTGTTGCTGTTAATAGTCAGGTTTAACGCCATACTGTCGGATCCTTCCTGTGCGCAGCCTGTATTGTCTTCACAGTGATGAACAGAAACCACAGAAGTCAAAAGACATACAGGAGCCTCTCTCCACACGCCACACCAGCCGCTACAGCCCGGAAAAAGAGTGAGAGTTATTCTGTGATGAACAAGATGCAAGTGGAGGCAACACTGCCTCCTGCTGTACTGGAAGATACATAAGTGCCTCCAGTGAATATGACTCCCCTTGCAATGGTTTCTGCTTCATCTCTTTCACAATTTGTTGCAGTTAAGCGAAAGGAAAAATGACAAATACCTTTCAAGACTGAAAGGTATTTGAAAAATGTATCTGAAAAATGTGGCACATACTAATATTCAGACCTCTCAAACAGTGCTTCATAGAATCATTGTAGGTATACTTTTAAAGTATTTTAGAGCATGTCTCTACCAGATTTGCATGGCTGTATAGTTTGAGCTCTGCCAGACTCGACTTTTTGACCTGTTCATGAAGAAACCTTGCTTAAATATCAAAGAAAAGATTAAACTCACAGCATCAGATCGTAACTGTACATAACGACAAAATATGAAGAGTTTTCTTTCCACTTTTGCAAGGTAAAGTCGCAAATTCCTTGTAATCCTACATTAATCAATTAAATTCAAGAGTTTTACTACTGGAACTACTGCAAGAACATTAACAAACAAGTCGATACATAAATAAATAAAACGCGGTTTTTTTATTCACGCCTCCATTGCATCTTCTAGTGTTCACCCCGCGGTGTTAATTTTTAATCTTTAATTTATTTTTCAGTCAAAATTGAGGCGGAACTCAAGACAAACACTTCTGTTTCCGACCGGAGTCGTTTCAATGTACGTCCTGTTTTTCTGCAGAGCTCTTCAGTAAAACAAAGTTTGGCAGAACAGATCGTTTGTGTCCAGCGTGGTGGGCCTGTGCCCGTTCTTATTTTTCTGACTTGGTAAGAAAAACACTAAACTCCGAAGATTAACGTAACATTACTTAAATTTTTGTTGTTTTCCTTTTTTGCTCGTCGTCCATCCCATAGCTTGCATGTAATTTTGTGTTCAAACAAAGCAACATGCAATAATAATGAGACAGAAATTCACAGCCTGAGTTTATGTTATTGTTGGTTCTTCATATACAAGTTGTAATTGTGCAAATAATATTAGTGTTACTTGCCTCAAATGCTTTGTTTATTGCAGGATTTTTTTTAATTTATATTGAACAAATACTTATGATCAATAAACATACAGTAGAGAAAACAGGGACATTACATATAGAAGAAGAGAAAAGAGAATTTCAAGTAGAAATGTTAATGTTAACCTCCATTATATACAAATAAGTCAGGGTAAATAAAAAAAATGTTTAAAAATGCAAGTAATTATTCTTCTGCAAACACTTTAGATATATATTGTAATAATATAAATAGGCCTTGTTCACAAGCATCAACCATTTTAAAAATAAATACAAAATTAAGGAATTAACAAAAAAATTCCTCTTTCTTCTGTGTTACTATTACCACCACTAGTAGATTATTATTGTTATTTTACTGTTAATATCATTATTTCTTATATTTTTCTTATTATTTATTTGCAGCTATATGACACAGATTATGAAAAAGTGGTAAGCTTATTATTTTGTTCCTGGTTCTGTATGCACATGTTTTCTCTTGTCCTACTGGTTACTTGTTTTTAAAAACCAGAAATAAAATAAACAGATAAAATGTTTCTCCTCCTCACTGTGTCTCTTCAGGGATGTCTCAGGCCAGTCTGCATGGAAAGTGGACCATCTCCAGCAGTGACGACGACGATGAAGTTCTTCCTCCTTCAGGAACCGCAACACCAAAGTCCCGTCGACCGGCCGAGTCCAGTCGCGTCTCTAGCGGGTCTCCCTCTCCGGTACCAGAACCAGCTCCCCCGGAGGTGAAAGCAGAACCGGACAGCGCCCCTGTGTTCGCTCTCTCTGTTGGTTCTGAGGCCAGACAGTCGGCAGCGAGGAACCAGAGGAACCCAGTCAAGTTCGAAACCAGCCCGTCGCTGAGCGGGAAGCGGAAGAAAGAGCCCTCGGACGGCTCCGGCTGGGCTCTCTCAGACAGTGACGATGAAGACGACACAGAAGGGAAAAGGAGCAGCCAGAGTAAGCTGCCGAACCGGGAGGCGCCAAACGGCGAGGCAAAAAAGCCGAAGGTGGAGAGCGAGCGTCCGCCAAGTCCCCACGGCCGACTCTACTACAAAGACGAGCCGGACGACTTCTTTGAGACGTCCTTTCCCTGCCTTAATGACACCTACAGATTCTACCTGAACAAAGTCACAGGGCTAGACAGGAAGTTCAATAGCGGAGCGCTGCACATCAGAGGTGAGGCTGCTGAGAGCAAATCTGACAGGAAGGAGTCCACTCATCGTTCCTCTAGCTGCATCATAGTGTGGCTGCTGGTTGGACTGAAACAGAGTTAGAAAAGTAAAACTTATAACCTTGTTTCTATTCTGTTCCTTCCGTCAAACTTTTTCTCTCCAGTTTCAGTCGCATCTCTGAACGATATGGGTGAAAATCTTAACGTGAAATCGGCATTTCATATCAGTCGATATCGATAATTATTGATTTGGTTTTATGTTTGAAATATCTGAAATACTGCCAAACCGGTGGCGCGACTTTTCTGTTTTATTAGTTGAGTAAAGAGCATATATGGATTAAGCAGGATTAACTAAGTTTATACTTCTGCCTACCTCTTTTTCAAACAAATATAAAATTTATATTAAGCTATTTTAATTGTGAATGTGAATACGTTTGAAACTAAACGAATAATCCAAACTACATAATGTAGAAAACCATGTAATGTTTTCCATCTACTTTTATGTGCTGTTTTCTGTTGGCCAGTCACATAAAATCACAAAAAAATAATCTGGTCGTAACATGGGAAAACTTTAAGGGTCTGAATATTTCTCCAATATATACAGTCCCTCATTTATCTAACAAATATAACATCTTTTCTGCAGACATCCTGTCCCCATTATTCGGGACCCTGAAAGAGTCTGTGCAGGTGAGCAACTTATTTCTTTATGATGAAATTTAACCTCTTTTTTTTTTAATAAAAATTTGGTTTACTTAATTCACCAAAGCTTCTTCTTTTAATAAATTTCCGGGCTTTAACATGCCTCTGCTCTTGTCTTTTGTAGTTTAACTACTGTTTCGATATTCCCTGGATGGTGAAGCAGTTCCCATCAGAGTTCAGGTAACTTCCACTTCTTAGTCTCATCAACATATTCATGTTTTATTCTTTTGTTAGAGCGTTTCATAAAGCCCACATTCTGCTTAGGATAGGATTAATGAGCAAATACAAACTCTTGGTTGAAAAATTTTTTTTTTTTTTGGCAAAAAAAGTGACATGATATGTGCAGCTGTGATTTTACGGCTCTGCCTTGGTTTTCAGACATTGTCCGGTTCTGATTGTCCATGGAGACAAGCGGGAGGCCAAGGCACGGCTCCTCCAACAGGGTCAGCCTTTCCCACACGTTCGTTTCTGCCAGGTACGAACCCCGCAGCGACGCCGCAGCCGTAGAGACAGATTTCTGAGTAACGTGAAAACTGTTCATGTTTCAGGCTAAACTGGACATTGCTTTTGGAACTCACCACACGTAAGAATCTCTCTCTTCCTGCATGTTTTTTTTTTTTTTTTTTAATAGATCCAGTCCAATTCTCTCTAAACTTTTTTTGCAAACTTGGCCCAAAAACAGAGTTGAAGACCAATTTAAAAAAAAATTAAAATAGGACATTTTGTTTTATTATTTTTTTGTGTGTGTTATTTTTACCCACTCCACCATAAACTTAGCTCAGTTAAATACAAAAATACTCTACTAATTCTATAGGGAATTAAAAGTTTCAGTTTCTTGGTCATGGCTGTGAGCAGAATTTATCTCCTGCTGTGGCTTGTGCTGTAAAATGGGGCAGCAGATTCAACACATGGAAAAAACATTATAATTTACAGCATTTTCAACAACAAGTTAAGGAATATGGGTCACTTTTCAGATGTTTTTTTTCTCAAAATCCTGGGATGTTTGTGGTTATACTTGCTGTAAAATTAAAGGCAAAATAACCAGGTTAAAAAAGGAGGCATGCTAGGTGTTTCACCCACGATATGAGAGAATTTTAATCTTATGTGTGAATATCTCGCCCTGAAAAATGAAATGAAAACTTTTCCATCTGTATCAACTCCCTCAGCTGTCGGAGCAAATCATTGCCGTTGCTGTTTGGACTCCACTGGTCTGGTGTTGGTTGAGATTTGAAATGAAACTTTTGTAAACTTCCATGTTTTTATCGTGCAGGAAGATGATGCTTCTGTGGTATGAGGAAGGCTTCAGAGTCATCATCCTCACCTCCAACCTCATCAGAGCGGACTGGTATCAGAAGACGCAAGGGTAGGTGTTTCAGGGAAGAAAAGATCTTGGTTAACATTTATTAAATTTGCTGCTAAATCTGTTTTTTGTTTTTTTGGGGGGGCCTTAGGATGTGGATGAGTCCTCTGTTTCCACGGTTACCAGAGGGGAGCAGCGAGAGTTCAGGGGAGTCGCCCACCTTCTTCAAGCGGGACCTGCTGGAGTACCTGGCGTCGTACCGCACCCCAGAACTGGACGAGTGGATCCAGCGGATCAAAGAGCACGACCTGTCAGAGACCAGGTGAAGCCGAGCGGAGGGATGAAGGTTCTGATCCACAGCTGGGCTTTTACTGTAAGACGATGCTGTGGTCGAAGGCAGGGCAGAAACGCTTCTCTCTCGTTCTGTTTTCAGAGTTTATTTGGTCGCCTCAACGCCCGGGAGATACGTCGGCGCAGACATGGAGCGCTGGGGCCACCTGAGGCTCAGGAAGGTGGAGATTGTCCTCCCTTTCTTCTGCTACATCCCACTAACCTCCTCTCACACCCCACACTACTGTGATTTACTGTATCTTTTTTTAGCTGTTTACTCCCACATTTTTTCACCCAACGACTCTCTGGTTTCCTCTGTGCTTCTCCCCCCCCCCCATTAGCTGCTGTATGATCACACAAATCCAATTCCGGACGAGGAACGGTGGCCTGTGATTGGCCAGTTCTCCAGCATCGGCTCCATGGGGATGGATAAGACCAAATGGCTGGCGGGGGAATTTCAGCGCAC